TACGTTTGTTTTTATGTGTGAAGAACAAGTAAATTTACACTAGTCATTTATCGAATCTTAAAATTTTGTCAATCAAAATAGATATATAGGTCAATATTTTGTATATATTGAACAGTTTAATTTATAGAAAGACTTTGTTTAGCTTTAAAAAAAACTTGATAATTTATTGATCAACACTTAACTTCCCAATAGCCATTATTCTCTATGTGAATAAGACATAAGCTATCAACGTTCAAAGTACTTTTATCATACTTAGTTCATTGGGTCAGATTTAGATTAACTACTGATAAACCAAACAATTACTTTCCGAAATACAGATCAATCTGAATAAGCAAATGAATGTTCTTTTCCAGTTATAATAGGCATTGAGAAAATTAACATTGAAGTTTAACAAGTAATCATGTTTTATAAATGAGATTATTAGATATTCTATATTCATTCTTGTTATGTCCCGATAAGCATAATGAATTGTGACTTTTGGGATTCATTTATGAACTAATACTATGGCTATATTTTTATTGTATAATTGTTAAATAACTAAATTATGCATATTCATGTTCCTCTTATTATAAGCCTTATTTTGACCTATGAACTATTATTATACGCTTTAGCATTCTTGAATTATGCCCTGTCTATTGATTATTACCTCCCATATTTACAGCCATATTTGACTAATTCTTGTACAAATGTTGTTTCCTATTTTATGGTACGATGTGGTCTGTCTGGTTGGTATATAAACCCAGTATACTTGAAATAAATGATTTATATCGTAGAGGCTAAGATTGGTGTTTTGAACTTAACTAGCTAGGCTAGATAGGAAGCAGCACCAATAAGGACTCTAGACTATTCGCACGGGTTTTATGCATCATTGGTCCGATCGATAATTCACTATTCTCTAATTGGCGGTATCATCACGTTATACATTAACACGGCACATAGGTCACAAGTTATAACAATTCTATAGATCACTGATATAAATTAAATCATAATATGATTTGAATATATCAATTTCATTGATCATTTCTACTGATTAGAATAATTTTTCCGTTGTTTCGGTTTCATTTATTTTTTTCTTCTCTCAAGTATAGAATTTCCCGAAGAGAAAAGAAACAATAAAAGATTCAACTGAAATAAATAGATTTTTGGCAATTATTTTTATCTGTAAGCAGAAAGGAAAAAAGAAAAGAGAATTAAACAATCATATAAATTACAATTGTGTTTCATGAAACATAAGTCATTTATTTTATTAAGTACAGTTAAATGTATGAATAAGTATATTTTTCATTAATCACAAGAACTAATTACATTTTCATTATTTTCATGAAATTATTGAATTTATTTTATGATTTGATAGGACAGGAAATGAAAATGATAAAATATCATTAAGGTAATAACTGCATCATTGATGAACAGGGTGGATCTGATGCAGATGTGAAAGCGCGGATCGGTAAAGCAAGAACAGAATATTTACAACTGAAGAACATCTGGAACTCAAAACAACTGTCAACCAACACCAAGGTCAGGATTTTCAATACAAATGTCAAGACAGTCCTACTGTATGGGGCAGAAACCTGGAGAACTACGAAAGCCATCATCCAGAAAATACAGGTGTTTATTAACAATAGTCTACGCAAAATACGTCGGATCTGTTGGCCGGACACTATCAGCAACAATCTACTGTGGGAGAGAACAAACCAGATCCCAGAGGAGGAAGAAATCAGGAAGAAGCGCTGGAAGTGGATAGGACACACATTGAGGAAAGCACCGAACTGTGTCACAAGACAAGCCCTCACATGGAATCCTCAAGGTCAAAGGAAAAGAGGAAGACCAAAGAACACATTACGCTGAGAAATGGAGATAGACATGGGAAAAATGAAGAAGAATTGGATGGAACTAGAAAAGAAGGCCCAGGACAGAGTGGGTTGGAGAATGCTGGTCGGCGGCCTATGCTCCATTAGGAGTAACAGGTGTAGGTAAGTAAGTAAGTTAAGTAATAACTAGGATAGTTTGAGAAATACTGTTAGTGAATATGAATCATGTTTAAGGAATCATATTATTGCATAGTTTTTCTATCAATTTATAAAAACTACTTAAAACTTCCACGGTTCATTTGTTTCCCTAGTTTCACTATAATATATGATTATATTTGTATGAATAAATAAGAAATATTAAACCGATTAAGTTAATTTATACGTCAGTGATAACAGTTGCTTAGACTGTATAATTAATAGCATTAAATAAGAAATAACTATAAATAGTAAGGTGATAGATGTAGTTATAGTGACAAGAATAATAATGACATCATGGTAACATAAATCACTATTTTAATACAGCAATTAGGCGTAGACCTGGGAAAATGAATTTAATTAATCAATAATCAACGAAAATATGTAATCATTCCTAATACGCAAATGGTCATCAAGAAATACTCAATGAGTTAAAAAAAAACACATAAAGGGGAATGGTTTAACCATTAAGTCTTCTGCAACGAAGGTAGAATATACAGGTGCTACACATATCTTTTAAAGTTTATTTATAAGTACAAGTGTTATAGAATTACCGATCAAGTGAAATGAAAAACGTGTGTATTTTTATCATCGAACGTTTTACAAACAACGAAGGATGATCGTCTTCAATGCGTTGATTATATTTCCTAGTAATATCCTCGATATATTTTATCAAGAGGAGCAAGGGTTCCAGTAGTTTATAAAAAAATTTTAGTCAACTGTTTGTGAATATTTCAACAGCTAAACAACACATGCCACACTAATCGGCATCCGAACCTCCCAGCTATTTTTTGAAAAAATAAATGTTTTTATCAAAAAGGTCAAAAATCTCTATAGTGCAAATAATCGGGCTATACAGTTTATATTATTCGCATGCTTTCTTGTTATAGTACAACTTCATGGTGTGATATTTTTTAGAAAAGTTTATTATAAAATGATTGTAATATTTGTAATTATTAATTTTATGAAACATATGATGGTAACAATAAATTGAATCGCTTGTCGACATTTATATACACGCTACCATTCATGTGATTATTCACTTGTTGTTATTCCAAATATATAAAATGCATTTTATGATTTGAATTATTCTTATACATGATTATACTTATCAACTTGTTTATTAAAAGGGAACATGTTGGAGATGTCCAGAATACGTTATTAATTAGCATAATTTGATTACATCAGCTTAAGCGCAATAATATGATTAGAAATAAACAAGAAAACAATGTCCAAATCGTCTTCCTGGACATTTTTAGTGAATATATACACATATACTGAATGGTTTGTTGGCAGGTACTCATAGATACCGTCAACTTATCCGATTTTGAATTTAAGCATTGAAGTACAACAGAATTTTCAAAATAACTAAATCAAAGATGAGAATCAATTTATGTGATTACTAACTTTTAATATGTGGTTTCACCACTTGGCTTTAATTTACTACCTAAAAATGTTCGGAATCTTTCTTTGTTACATAGATACAGGAAACTAACACAAAACTTGAACATAAACATTTTACGTTTGCATATAAGTGAACTAATACCTTGTTTTATTTAGTACTACATTTTAAAGTGACTTATAAATAGTGATTAATATTGTGATGTTCAGCTTATCAAAGAGTAAGACAATTCAGCATCTTTAATTGGTCAATTACTGCTTGCTGAAAAAGTCTAATTTATCAGTAGCATGTAATTAAATGGCGTTCACATTGTTTTTTGTATACTGTCCAACATAATTTCAGTGAAATAGAGTTCACTAAATAACAGTAAGCTCATTCTCTGATGCACTAACGAGTAATCATTTGTTGAACACCACAGTTTGTCATTGGTATATAGTAAATACACTCATTACCATTATTGTATAAACAACGTAGGTATAAAATTACAACAATCACTTGAAGCAAACATATGTATGTAATACGTTTTAGGAAATCAATTTTAGACTCTTGTACAAATACACATGAGGAAATAATATAATATTAAAGAACATGACTGATGATATAGAGAAGAACAGAATTAAAACAGAAACTTGGTCGACAAATAAGATCCATTCCTAATGGAATTAACATTAAAAAAAGGAAAAGATAGTCAACATATTCACAGAATAATCTTCCGATTCAAGGAGACAAATGAATAAATACAACTAAATATTTCAACTCTATTTACGATGAAATAAAGTTTGTTTTATTAAATCGATAAAATGTTTAATAAATAGAGAATAGAAGAAGAAATCAGTGTAACTATTCGGTTGTTATCACTATTATTAATTATCATGTAATGATAAAATTAACAATAAAAGAAGGATGTACAGGTTTTATTGTGCACTTAATTAGTTCATATTTGAAATAGTTGTATTTCTAAATGACAAATAATTCATTTCACTAATGGAATATAAACCACTGAAGAATAAAATCATTAATCTAAGAAAAAAAGGAAATTGTATACAATGTTTGTCAAAGAAATCTAAGTTACCTTCTTTAAAACAATGTTTGGGTCGAATCATAGTTAGAAAATGCCAATTAGTAATTTACAATAAAAAATATTGATTGGCTTGAAATGCAATAATCAATAAACATATCCAATCACAATTTAGAACTCACCAATCGTCTATAAATTCATAATGTTTAGTATGGATAGATAAATATAAGAGTAGATAAGTAAACACAACCTGAAGATGAAATTTCCCATGAAAGGAAGTACATAATATATGATATATGTTCTGAACATACACACACATGAACACTCAAGTAAGTGTTATGAATTATATTTCCAAGACAGATAATTTTATTAGCAGGAAAATATAAATAAAAATATTATTGTCATGATCAACGCCGGCGACGTACACGCCATCGAAGTATATAATAACCAAGTATTCGTAAAAAAAGAAAAAAGATGCATAATACACCGAAATCGACAGAAACACTATAATCTGGAATATTTAATGCTTGAAATATCATTGCTGGTTTGCCAAGACAAGGATAACTCATCTTATTTATTCGTTTACGATCGCAATCAAGTTCTGTACGGTTATTTCCATAGATAATCTAGAAAAGTTGAAAATTATAACCAATCTTAACGTGTATTTATAACAATAAATATTGATATAATAAGCGATAACATTTGTATGGTTTTATTGACTGGTATATATATTAATTACAATGTTTCCTGAGTAATTCATGTAATCTAAAATATTCGTGACGGAGCTACTAATGTTTTCCTGTCCTTTTGAGTATAACTTTCTAAAGTGAAGTGTAGTGAATAAGCTAATGGAAATCTTAGTCTGATAAAGATTTGTAGCTTAACAGAATGGTACTTGAGTTATTGATCTCTATAAACTCGAAAATTAAATCTAACTGCTCCATCGTTACGTTCGTTTGAACAAGTGAATGTAATTGTGTATGAAATGATGAAGTAGAAAATGAAACCGAATAATAATTGTACCATACTTCTCTGTCAGTCGTAAAAAAATGGCTGTTAGTTTTCAGCGCTTCCTTTATTATATTATACGCTTCTTTCTATCCACAAGCTTAACAACTTACTGTCATTGTGTATCATATAATTATATATAAAACGGTCTGAAAGAAGGTAACTGTTGCATCATTTACTTTATCAGGGTTACGACAGAGCCTGAAAAGTTACGTCCAGATTCTTGGAGTTTTGCTAGACATAAATTGATATACACTCAATTCACCTACGATGGTGATGGAAAAGTACTACTCAACCTGGATATAAAAATACCTCTGATTTTATTTCTCCATTTAGGTAGGAAATATGAATAATAAGTTTGAATGAAACCATAAATAATGAGTTATTCTGAGTTGTCACCGTCCTTTGACTTTATGAGTACTTATATTAAGTAGTATAAGAAGACATGTGGTCTGTTTCAGTTTAAAAAATTTGCAGAACTGTGGTTAATTCAGTCATATTTTAATAATGGGTGGATAATAAATTAATAAATAGGAGAAAGAATATGACTATCCACTCAGTCTACTGTAAGATAACTCAATGGATAAACTGTTCAGAGGTGGACATAGTCTGTGGATGGATTGACAATAAAAAATACGTGATAACATGTACATAACTTACTTTGAGTGCTCCCGAAAATGAATATCGGGTAAATGATAAAAAAGAAATCCATTGTAAATACTTCGGTATAGCATATAAATTGAGAAAAAACCAGAGAATAATAGTATAGGAATTCCCGTTACTGGTCCTAGAAATACAGCGACCTGTGTAAAATAATATACAATTTAAATCTTAATTATACTAATATTCTAAGTCATATAAGTCATACATATAGTAATATACCACTCTTATTAATTACATATGTACAAATAATTGGATGTAATGTAATTAAATATAAAATAAACATTTTTAATGTCAGATATTACCCTTTTGTACAAAGTAGCATGAAAATATGAATGAAGATTCTCATTCAAATTTATGTATCATTCAAGATGCAAAACCTTTTCGGAATTCCACTTTAGATGGACATATTAGATGTGTTCCTATCTACAGTGTGAAATCTGCGGTTTGTATTTTCTTATCAATAATATTCGGAACAGAATCTAGTCAGGTTTTGTGCTAATATAATTAGTAGAAAGTTCAAATATTAAAGTATAAACCAACACTGATGTGAAGGTGCACCATTAGCTATAAATGAAACCATTGATATAGTTTTACCTAAAGGGACTTTTCAAATAGTCAGTAAAAGTGAACATGAATACTTCACTGTATATCAGTTGAAATATGAAAATTTGTTCAGTACCATGTACAAACGTTAATGTCATTGTATGTGAGTGTAATAAAAGGATATACAAAACATGACGGTAGATTAAGACGCTTTTGAAAATATTAAAGTTGTAGTCCGTCTAAATAAATTATCATATACAGGTTGGATTCAATCCAACCACAAGAAAGCAGCGTCTCATGCATAGAGTTCTTGGAATAATTTGAAGTATGGGAGCTTTATTGGAAACATCAAGTCAATATCCGATTACTCATAAATCAACAGAATATTTTGAAATAGTTTTCAAGCAAAATGTCACAGCGTACGTTGTTATTCACTTGGTATTGTCTACTTGTATCTTCCCATTGTTGTTTAGGACTAAAACTGATCAGTATCTTATTGGCATATCTGCATACTGTGCAGGCTGCTTTAATATTGCCTCAAGTCACATGCTTTATAGCCAAAGATTGATGGTGGCTAGCAGTGGAATCCAGGACGCGTGTTTCATCCTATTCGGGACTCGTCAGCTAGATGTACCTGAATCTCAGAGTTGATATTCAATCTGGGATGCACATATGCTAAAAAGAGACTGATCGATTTTAGACCTAAATATCAATGGGAAGATACAAGTAAACAATATCAAGTAGATTTGAACTTCATCCCATTGTACGAGCAAGTGGCTATCAGGACTCAGTAGCTAAGTGGACAAATACATGGCTTTTGAAGTGAACGGTACTGGGATCGAGCATTGGAGTGAACATCAACTTCGAGATGCAAGTGAATCCAGCTGACGTGCCCCGAATAGTAAGTTGTTACTGTTTTTCTATTATATACTCAGGTTTTTTCTAATAATTGGTCCATTTTTAAATGACGGGGTTTCGATTAGGCCTACATAGATGGGTGACAACGAATATGACCGAAAGTATAAAGTTTTCCGCAGCTAAAATAATCAATACATGGAAGTTGTTAAGTATTTCATCACTTTTATTTTTTCTCTTTTCAGACTTTTCGAATTCAAGCTTCTAAATAAACATGGTATTCAGGACAAATAGTTTATTCAGGTGATTTTTGCATATTTTTATAATCGCTAGTTATTTCATAATCTCCTTAAACATAATATCTATTGTTTATGTTGTATGAAGAATGTACAAGACGTTTGGTGTGAAATCAGTGCAGAACATTAATTTTTTGTTATATAGGAAATACAATTGCGGTTGCTTTGATCAATAGCACTGATACATCAAGAAAAAAAAAGCCAAGCTGAGTATCAGTCGATTCCTGATTCACGACTTCCTTTGTCACAAAGTCCATGTTAAATAAGTTATTATTTTAAGCATACCTTGTAAGAAAGGAAGTAAATATCGTTTGATGGTTTTCACATGGCATTACTGATCCTAAAATGGGAAAACATTGGGTACTGGAATATTGTTAAGTGGTAAGGAAATGAAAAGTGCTAGACTTTCAGTTAGGTTGTAGAATTTTGTGCAGGATTGGTTTCTGATAAAAAATCTTGACTGTTTCGGCCGTGATCAGACTTAACAAATAAATCAAATTGCTTTATGAAATCAATTTGCAACATATGAGAATTGATTTACTAAGTTAGATTTGCAGGGACTCATTATTTGTTGAAACCAAAATCACATTTTCGTATATCATTAATTAGTAGGTGAATTTTAAAGATAGTTTCCGTCATGAACTGATCACAACTAAACAACCATTGGAATTCATGCAGGCAACGGACAGCATCTTCGTCCCACTGTCGAATTCCTGCTAATAAGAACACACATGACACTTCTCATAACCGAACCCATGGAAATCTTGTATAGTAACAATAAGTGGAAACCATATTTTGGCAGTAAACGAATCAAGCAACCAGTCGTTTTTATATACTTTCCTCTTAAATTCTAAAGTTATAAACTCATAAATACTTTATAATTAATAACTATTACAGAATATCCATAAAAATTCGCATTCTTTCATTCATTATGTTAGGACCCGAATTCGAAAAGCGGACGATTGATGAATAATTGATTTAAGCATACGATACGTCTCAAAAATCCATAGTGTGATATGAATTTTGTTTGTGTTCTCAGCACATATAAAAATATTGATCTTATGATTATTAAGTAAGAGAAAATGTAGTGTCGGTTATTATGTTAAGCCCATATACTTTATTCTAGCTTTCGGACAGCCCATTCTATTCATCCTACTTGAGTCACATTCTGACCTTGTTAATTATTCGCTTATCAATCTTGACTGTTTTTATATGAGCGCGTAGGTGTGTGTACATTTCTTATCCCAATACTCATCACATGTCCGTAAATTACTTTTGTGTAGCTATAAATATTGATTAACGCTTGGTTAAAGGGGAGTCGGCTTACACGCTATCTGCACTGCGCGTCGTTTCTCTTCTCTCTATTCCATTCGCTATATATACACAAGTCCATTCTCGTTATTTGACTTAATTCCGTTATTGACTAACGCGATTTAAGTCGATGATTATATACGAGGATAGGCGACACATATATTTCAACAACAATCATCATTACAATCACCTTGGTGTCAGATGCCGGGCCACTAAAGTGGAGAGCCCTTTCGACAACATCGTCAGATCTAAATGACGACAAAATTAAAGGGCCTCCACAAATATATGAAGTAACTAACACATGAAAATGGTTTCTAAAATCCCAAAATCTAAAGGCTTAATGAAAAAAAAACATCCTCAAGAAGATATTTTAGTACTAAACGATAATAAATATTCCGGATTAAGTCTGAGATACATTTCTCTAAAATACAAAATCCAATCAACTATGTTTATAGTTGCATGTACGCAAAGGATTTTCATTGTATGTATAAGCTAATACTTTTCGTTGAGTCATACAGTGACTTAGAAATCTAATAACTGAAACTTCAGTTCATTTGCTTTGGATTATATTTTTTGACTTTTATAATATTCATCTAATTTCACATTACAATTTTACTATTGAATGTAAACTTTTGAAAATTAAATGTGACACAGACTCATAAACAACTATTAACCACATTGTAGGGATACTCGTTTTCTATAAGTTATGTAGATGGATCTTCTTACAGTATTTTAGTCTATAAGAAGAATAGTTTTTAAGGACAACGAAAAGTAGGTCAAGTCGAATTCTTTCTTTAAAAGAAACTTGATCTGAAAATTCTAGATAGTTTGCGTGTGTACTTTATGCAATTCAAAATAATAGCATAATGCACAAAATATCATAATAATGGAATACACTCATTAGGATGTAAAAAAGAACAAGAAGAGTTAACTGGATAATAAATTCATTGTCAAAGTTGTTTGATAGTAAATTAACACTTTTTTTCATCATGATAATAAATCATATGTCTGTTAAAAAGTGGTGATTCATTGAGTATAACAACGAAATCACAGAAAAAAGTCATCATTGTACATCATATATATGCATACAGGCTGATTTGTTTAGTCACATAAGCTCTTTTTGTTTCAGGTAGTCGTTTGGAGTCCTGTATAGGAAAATTGTATATCACTATGATCTCTCTGACACCACTATCTACAGGAGTTGGATTCGTTATCATCCTGTTAATACTGATTCACTTGTAGAAATTAACACTTTTAAGAGTTTTCGTGATTCAGTATTTAAAAACATCAGTTAATACAAATTTCTAATTAATTGTAAGCACATATATATAAAATTTTAAAATATATATCATTGAATAATATGAATAAACTCAATGATTTAAATAAAAAAGGTTTTACATTAGCTACTAATTTATATAAAAGCCATTTAACTTTTAGCCTGTAAAATATACATCATTTTGACATGAATAACCTTTCGAGGATAATGATTTTAATGTTAATTCATAGTGTGTAACAGTTAATTTTCCTTCTATGAAAGGAATTACATTAAATGAAAAAGGAAAAAAAAAACACAACAAGAATAACAAGATTTGCAAAATAAAATGAATTCGTCTGTCTATTTCATGGTTTCTTATCAGCTACATATGGTCAAAAATTATAATTATAATTATCATTATTAATAAATGTTTAGCATACTTTTACCTATGAAACTTAGATAAATGTTCGAAACATAAACAAATTCATAATACTAGAGATAAAAAGTGTATGAATAAATACAGTTATGATCAATGTGCTGGAAAGTAATAATATACAGGTTACGTAGAGGTAAAAAAATCAATAGGCAATTGCGTAATCTCTCAACATGATAAGATCAGCAAATATGTAAGCATCAATCATATTATGTAAGAGATGAAATCAGAAGACGAAAGAAAAGGAAAAAGTTGGTAACAGGGTTGAAAACAATTAAAAATTAGAATTAACGAAGGTTATTAGACAAACATACATTCACATTGGGAAGGAAAGGCTAATCACACTTCCCTTTTGTATATATAGGTTAGGTCGGAAATGTTTGATAGCGATTGCCTCTGCCAAACGAATTAAGATTGATGTTTTTTGTCCGCTAACTATTTTAAATGCATTACTTATACCCACTTCATGTCCACGTCCCTAAAAGTGTCTGGGGATTGCACTTTTGAGTGTTTTGCATCCTATCTCCTATAGGTTCCAAGGAACGTATTCAGAAAACCTTTTAGAGGTCCCTCTTTTAGTTCTTCTTATAACCTTACTATAGCAGGTACATGTAAATCCATAGATGCAATTGGAGACGACGTCGGTAGAGTATTGATCTACCTTAGAATGGTATAACGATCACCTAGTGTTGTATAGTGAGACCAATTGGGCAACAGGGAGGCGTTTTCAGTGCTGTCTAGACTTTCCAATCGATTCCTCATGAGATATTATCTCACCTGAACGAAAGGTGGATGAAGATAAGCTTCTTTCCAACAACCGGATGTTTACCATCCTTATAACGGCCTTGTCCGTTTTTCGTTATAAATTTCTTCTGGTATTTATATTTTATGAGATGCTTTTCTAGAATAGCCAATTTCTCATTGGTTTTAATGTTTGGGGATAACAGAGTAGCTCTATTGGAGAACCTTTTGACGAGACACTTTGTAACTGATACGAGAAAAGCTGTCAGAGCTTAAATACTGTCCTGTCCATTTTGCTTTCATACACACTTTTATCAAGACTCATCATTTTTTTCCGTCTTCTACTAAGATCATGTTGAGCGATTATCTGACCACTTATTGGTTTCATTACATTCACATAACCTTTATTGTTTTGATTATGATTAACTGAAACTCCTGTTTTACTCTGCATCACTTTCGAACAAATAAATACACATCGATTTTCGATTATGTTAATTCATACACTTTGTATCCTCATTCTTTTGATTATTATGGTTTTGGTTACGTTTCGAACAATAATCTTAACTTCACAAACTAATATATGTTAAAACATTTGTTAATAATTTTGTTATTAATTGTGATTCTAGGTAGCATGCAGCCCATGAGAAACCGTGATAGACTGATGAATTCATTTTATTCTGGAAACCTTATTGCTCATGTTTTGTTTAAACTTACCAAGGGATCTGGTTGTATAAAAAAAGTAAGTTAGGAAATTTGAATCATATTATTGCTTACAAAGCATTATTTTAAATGAGTGACTTAAAGATTCAACTTAGATTGTGATTAGCATTAAGTGTGATAGAATATAACCAGATAAAAATATAGAATTATCATACGATTGGCCCATTATAAAATAAGAATAAAGTATTTACTGTATAAAGTACGGGAATCATGTAAATAAAATGTTGGCATTTAAAAAACAAAACAGTGTACATCTTATCATTTAGCTAACCTGTAATGAAGTAGCTGTACCAATAACAAGACCTAATGATTGACCAACTAAAGATGTTTGAATCGATATGATAAGAAATTGAATAAATCTTATAGCATCATTTGGTTGTTCAGTCATCCAATATGTAATACTAGCGTAAACAATAGGAAAAAATATCTAATAAAGGGAAATAAAAAAATAATTAATTTACTTTAGTAAGGTATTCTTTACATACGTAATCAATAAACGAAAAAAATTATGGAAGATTAGTACATTCACAATAAACGATGTCAAACCATGTGATTGAAGATAGTTGACAGGAAACTTCAGATCAAAGTTGTATGCTTGCCAGTATTCGTTATTACAATCTTGAGTGAACTGATGCTCCCTGAAGTTAACCAGCTTCATAGTCTGAAACGTTATCACTAAGCCATTCTAGCCACGAATGACCTTCTGTAGGACTGAGATATTGACAACTGATTGGTCGCTGAGTAGTGATCAATGTTATGTTTGTCTAATCCGTTGGTACAGATAGGATTCTGTCGATTGGGTTGAATGGTGAACATTAGTTTGAGTGATTCAAAATCACTGACAACGTGCAAACAAATAACATCCCAACATAGTGCACGTAATGCCACTAAGACTAGTGGCCTAGACAAACATAACATTGGTCATTATTCAGTTATCAATCATTTGTAAATCAGGACTGTTTATAAGGAGTATTACATAAGCTTATGGAACATATTTATTTGTTGAATATCTTGAGAGATCTTATTATGTAAGAAAGTTGAACCCGATTCTAAGCAGTGGTTTAATTAATAACTCAATTCATCAAGAAATAAAATAATAAGACAGTGCTTACTTTTCGACGAAATCATTTACTTAAGCTGTACATTCGTATATATAGTTATATGGAAAATGTATGTCTATAGAGAGATAGAATGGATTGTATCACAAAAATGGATTCGACAATAAATAACAATGACAGTATGGGTTATTTTAATTAACAGTGCTTACTATTGCATGATGGCAAATTTAATTCTCTTCTCATTTATAGCATGGAGTCCCATTACTTTGAACGTGAATGTAGTAAGTAATCTAGTTATCTATAAATATAACATTTTCATTAAAATTAACCTTCAACCACTGGTTTGAGTCATCTCATTATAGGAACTTACATATTCATTTAGATACAGAAATTATTCTGACAGCGAATTGAAAAATGACAGGAATGTAATCGCATATAGTCTATGCTGTTTTCACACACAGCTAAAAACATCCACTTTTGATTTTTTGATCAATAGAAAGTAACTAGTGTCCAGTTTTTCTTCTTTGGTTTATGTTGATGAACTCGGTAATATTGATTTCTAACTGAATCCTTCTTAGGATTCAAACCTGAATAAACGTTTGACATGATTATCGAGTTGCTGAACTTGAATTAAATCAGGTGTTTTACGAATTACAAAATGCAAAAATATTAAGTTAATTTGCAGAAATTAACTGTTGAACTCATGCAAAGTAATATTAACAATGTGATAAGAAATTCATAAATTTTAAATGTGCCAATAATTAAGATTTACCTGGAATGGTACGTCAGCTAGTGATTTCGCCAAGTAATAGGCTTTTAAACTATACCAGGAATTTAGATGTTCACGGAAGAATATTGATATTTCAAGAGGAACTGGAAAGAGTAATCAACATGTCTTAGGGGTAACAGTTAGGTTAGAAAAACTAATAGCATGTATAAAATGTAAACGGTTTCCTTTATCAAAATCACATTAATTAATGTTTAATTCCACTTTATTTTACAACCTTCGACATTAGTTTTTATTGTTTTTCTACTCAATTAAAACTGTCATCATAAACTGGGTCTCAGAAATCAGGAATTCCAATTGCACTATGTGACAGTTGTCACAAATGTCATCCACTAATAACTGTGTGCTGTAGGTCTCGAGTATCAAGAAAGCAGTCGACTAACACATTTATCAACCAATTTTTGCTGAATCAAAACATCGTCCATGTAAAATAAAATTTTCAATATTTCTTTGTTAGCATAGCAACGTATCAGAGCAAAATGGTCAAAATTTCAATGTTTTAGATTGATATCTTGAATGAATCGATTGTGGACCACCATTGTAAACCTGAAAGAAATGCACGACCGTTTTCTACTAGTATGGGACTCCTCAGCAGTGCGCATCCACGATCCCGCACGTAAGCCTTGAAACCAGGACGTTCGGCCTTGCGTGCGAACGCTCGACCTCTAGACCACTGGGCCGGCATCCAACGAGGTTAATGTCTAAATTCAACCAATCAATGTTTTAGTTATTTATAGCATTGAGAAAAATTATTAGTTTGAAATTGAATGTAAAATTAGTGCTTACTTGTTGATCGGAACATCAAGAATAATTGCTTTGAATATTTTGTTACACTATTTTTGTACAATTTATTTTAACGATGAATTATCAAAATACGAATTATTCGAAGATCTATCTACTATCGTCACTTGTTCTAAGACACGTCTCTTGCATTATTGGAACTTAGATTGATGAAAAAAACATTTTTTACGATTATATTTTCCACCACAAAATCAATACCACAAAATACTCCACTATTTTTCCTACTATTACTGATAATGAAACTACTCATGCTTCTCTAGGATTTATCTTGATAAGTATATCTCCAAGTGGTATGATAACTTCGATCAATGGATATATGTGGCAGATTCCATGACATTTGTAATTGACTGGGAGTGGTGTGATAATATGAGTTTTATGAATACGATAAGTGAGAAACTACTGTAATCATAAAATTCAACTAAAACTGGATGCGTAAAGTAGAACCTATAGCCAATCGGACCAAAACTATCAGTATAGGTTTGTAAAGATTTTTGAGTTTTACGGAAACCATGAACTGATCGATGTTCGATCATCACGGAACAATCGGAAGCACTGGATGGGGCAGTATAGTGGATTGATAGAAGCTGGATATCACTACCGTTGAATGCCGGATCAATGGCTTAGGGGTTGGGCGTTTGTGCATGAGACAGGTCCTGGGTTCGGTTTCCACCTGCGGGACCATCGACGCTTATTGCTCAAGAGCTCCAAACGAGAACGAAACGGCCGTTCAGTGCTTCCGGATTTTCAGTGTTAGTCTAAAATTCATTGGTTCATGGTTTCAGAACTGTCATTCATATATAAAACCTTAACTTATTAACAGTATGGGATATAAAGTAACAAGTATTCATTCACGTTACAAGGTAGCCAATTATCATTCACTTCTTTCTGTTGTATGATAAAAATGATCATTTATTTTTACGATGTAGATTTTGTTTACTTTATCTCTGACATTATAACTGCTTATATGCCTGATCCTGAGATAAATTGTTTTTATTGTATTATGTTCACCGGATTAAAATAGAGAATTGATGTCAAAATATTAATCAATAACGATTTTCTAAAAATATGAACCGCTGTTCTTAAGCAATAGATATCTAGTTCATTATAAAGCACTGACTAATAAAAACAAGTTTAAGAAACTTCCCACCTGAAAAATGGTTCATAATTATGCATGTGGGTTATCTAATAAACTCTTTCATAGGATTTTTTAATGTGTCGAATTTATTTAAGCATCAAGTTAACCTGGAATAATATGCTATTATGTAGTGGGAAAATGGATGTTTATTTCAAACTAACAGTCGAAAAAAAACTATGAAAAATAAAAACCACCAAATTTCATCTCATTGGTTTTATGATATAGTAGTCATTGGAAGAATTTAAAAACTTTAATTCTACCATGTGGACAAAATAAATATCCATCGATCAACCCATGATTTTCACTGGTTTACCAACACATGTTACATTCAATACAATTGTGAGCTCTTTAATGTAATAGGATATATATACAACCTAAAGATATGTGATTCCGATTATGTATTTACTACATTGTGTTACACAAATACAAATCAACTGAATGTAAATTATTAATTTTCGATTATATGCAAAATATTTCATTTGACTATCCTTTGTTTTTTTTTAATTGGTGAAATAAGCTTTTACTGAATAAATGAGTCAACTAACCTAATAACCTAAATAGTAATGAAAGGTTATTGATTTTTTTGTATATTCAATATCTACTAATGAATTGATAATAAGGTGAATTCTGTAACTATTCTAAACGAATTGAAAACGAAATAATTTTCTGTAGCTTAATCTAGATTTTATTGAAATCATTTATATCTATTAGCTTATGTTACATATTTTTTGGTGTGTTTACTTATCTCCAAATTATTTTCTGATAAATTTTATTAAAGATTTCTAATGTTCTAATAATTATTTACTGTATTATTCAAACTTTATTCTCCTTAAACAGATAAATTGAATTGTATAGGCTGTTTCATTTGATTAGAGAACGGATTTGGTAAAGCATTCAATTCTGATGGAATATTTGAATAATCTATTGTAGTGAAACAAAAACAAAACTATAATGTTTAAGATAAGTATGATTACTTGTGAATTACTTGAATTTGAGAGCAATTAGTATGTTATAAGTTCAGTAAATAAACTTATGTCTAGTTAATGATGTATTCCTGATAATTTTTTGCTGGTATGATGAATAAAAACATTCTATGTACGATTAAAATAATAAAGCGTATTATTTAAATTTTAATGGAAAGGTTAGTAATTCATTATCTTGACTTTTTGAGTTTTATGAAAGTAAAGTTATGTTATAAGTATTTAGGTAATCAATTTTTATCTCCTATTCTCAAAAAACGAACTATCACCAAGTATACATAATTTTACATGGCTGATGATTTGATTGGAGACTCTATCATTAAAAGTGATTTATAATAGGGAAAATTCTATTAAAATAAAATCTTTAGTAGCTTTGTATAGTATTTAATTAAGAATAGTTCTGCTTTGTATGTGTTCCTGATAAGCTTTACAGAGTTAATATAGAACATTTTATTAAAACGGTGGAGTTCCGAGTCAAATAATGATCCTTACCAAACATCTTTTACCGGAAATAATGAAAATATTGCAATATGAATACAAGGCAAAGTTTATTTACCATTACTATGAAGTTCAGTTGCTTTAATAACACTGGGGCAAGAATTTACAAACAACTGTGACTCAGAACTCATTGGGTCAGCAGTCTGGAAGTCAAGCTGTCACACACGAGATTAAACATTCTGATTTTGATCATTGGTTGTGTCGTAGATACACACTACTGAGGTGTCCCTTAATAAGACGAAACAACAGTTCAGGACTTCCTGGTTTCCAGTGATTGTCTAACTTAGATCATGTCGTAAAATCAATAGCATTCAATAATCTCCTTAAACCTGTATACGAATAAATGTTTGGTTTTAGTTTATCATAGCAGAACATTGCCTGAGATCAGAAAGCATCACTTATACTTACATGTCATCACAGTTGGCATTAATGAAGCAAACATAAGGAATAGCAAAGTAAAGAAGACAAATGCTGCATTACTTATCACTTCGTAACCCAAATTACCAACACGAAAATATAAAACACCGATTAATATTCCAACAACAATATGTGATACAAAACGCAGATGTGTTAATGTCTAAAAAATAGTGAAGAAAAGATGTGGTAATCGAATAAAATAATCAGTAGTTATATATACTGGTGATTTATAAACAATTTAATATTTTGATGAATGAATTCAATTGATTGTTAACTTCAAACAAATGATCTTCAGTCTTGATTATCAGTATTAAGCTGGTTCTGCTTTACAACATAAGTTTTGAACTGTTTGCATCAACCTATTTAGCAAAGTATAAACAAGACTATTAAACTTAATTTAGTTTGAAATGGACTGGATTATCCCGTTGTTGATAATTTCTATGTAGGTACATTCAGCTGACGAGTCTCAAACGGGACGAAAGGTGAATCTTGGATTCCACTTCTAGCCACATAACCTCTCTTCATTGCTATTAAAAATTTAGACTGTAAATAAAATAATACATGGTGTACACGGACGCCAGTCCTCACATATTTTAAGATTTTTCTGAATCAATACACTTTTGCCATTAATTCTGAAAGCATATCCACTTTGTTTACTTTTATTACAACTTCGAGTGAAAAGCATGTTATTTAGAAAATCTTTAGCAGTTATTTATCTATGAATATGAAAAACGCTAGTTTGAATCATCATTTCACTGATTAAAGAATTTATTAATATCGTTTTCAATTGTTATGTAATCTTCATCCGTAAGATTTTAAGCTAGCAATAATATTCCGACTATCATTTCAAATAAACCATTCTTTACGAACTGCAGTCATATCAGTTGCACAGTTAGAAGTAGAAAATTAGCTGGTATAGACAGTTGGTTGATTTGAAGAAAAACTAGTTGTTATTTCAGTTAGAAATAAAGTAGAATTTTTAAACCATGAAAAGAAATAATATTTACATCAATTTTAGTTTTTAATGAAGCTGATTAAGTGAAAACCACACAAGAGTTTATTAAACAAATATTCAACCTAAATAAATAAATATTATTGAAATATTTATAAGGAAAATGGAAAAATAATGTGCAGAAATGAATATATTAAGGGAAATCTGAAACGAATTCAATACAATCTCATACAGGTATAATAATGATCAAAAGACAAAATCAATAAATGGGAGAAAACATAAACAAAAGGTTGAGAACTAGAGAACAAATTAAGAAATTGATTTTTTGTTCAATAACATGTGATTAAAATAATAGTCAATTCATAGAAAAGTGAGTAAGAATGTCAGTACTTTTTTATTTAAAATTTCTAAATAACTTCAAAGCAGAAATAATACATCTATTATCTTATGAATAAAGGAAATGAAGTTTGGAAATAGATATTTAGGAAATTGAGAAATAACACTAAGCATTATGTAAATGAAATATGAATTCAGATAGAATAGTCAAACAGATTATTTTTATTGATTTTAGAGACATTTAAGTAAAGAAATTAAGGGGTAATGAAAACTGTGAACTGTACATTATTATTATTCCTCATATTATAGAAACTCGAATATTTATGCCCACAACAAGTAGTGGTTCGTTTCAACACACAATCCTATGAAAGTTAATAATTTTGATTGTAAACGATTTTGTGTAACGTCCTAAAAGCATTATGACATCCAGTTGCTGATTTATTAACTAATGACAATTGGTTCCTTTTCTATCTCCAGTTTTGAAACGGTCATAATTTCTCGAAATAAAATGTTTTAACCATATCTAGGATAGATATTGATTCCTAACTTACATCAGTTCAAAATAGCGATGATATCCATCTAATTAGTATGGATTTAACTACCATTAGTGAATAATTCTACTTTAGGCTGATCAAGAAACTAAATTGTATACAGATATTTGTTTACTTTTCAAACCAAAAAATCTGTAAACTTTGTACGTATATCCAACTATTAATTTTTATCGAATTATCATCAAAAACACTTTCGTAATGTGGAATATTAGCTTTGATCGTAGTTGCCAAACTATTTTCAGCATTTTATAAACTCCTAGTTAGTTGATCTACTTAATTAATGAAGTTATGTAATTTGGTTAATGATAAGAAATCTTTATGTCATTATTCCCTAGATAGATAATTGCAACCCAATAATTGGTTGAACATATACGATCAGTACCGTTTTGAAGAGAATCTCCTGATGAGTTAGTGACTTCATATCTTGTCTTTGTAGGTATGATAGTTTCATACTATTTAAACAATTAGTGTTTCTTACAAAACGAGTTTGTGATTAACGTTTATGAGCTGTAGCTTTCCTACGTTTTCGATATTCAGGTTATCTCAGTGATTTTCATTCGTATAAAGACAAATATCTTATCCACTGTAATATAAAAGGGGTGCCTGTGTGTAAAGGAATTTGGCCGTCAACGTTTCGGAATTAGAAAGAGTATGTAGCTTTTGATTGTAAGTATACTATCAGCTAATGAAATATTTTATACAATACTTCTAAAAATAATCAAGTGACTTTGTTTCATATTCTATGTACATATTCTTTGATACTCGATGTAGACACTAACAATAATAAAATTGTACACAGTAAGTTATAGAACTAGATTTTTCTGCAAAATATGTTATTTAGAGAAACAAAAGTTAGTGGGAATTAGTAGTTTATAATAATGATTTATCAACCTCTGTTCTTCTATCCTTATGGCCAAATAGCACTGAGTAGGAATGTTGAAATAAACTTGATATATCTACCAGCCGATAAAATGAATAATGAATAAAGTGTACTTTAATATTTTTACTTTGTTATGACTTAACCTGTCTAGTTGACCTTTTAATTTTTCATATATAAATGTTCTTAACAAGTATATGTGTGATCAGATTGTTCGAAATGCATTGTGCAAACATATCACATAATTCTGATAAACTACATCTTCTCATTGCATTATCGAAAGTGTCAGATATCAGTTCAGTATAAACGAGAATGAAACATAGGTGTTGTTGTCAATAATAACGATATCGTTGAACAACCAATTAAACGAAACAAATAAGAACAGATAAATATACTCTCATAAGTAAAGCATTTTTATGTATTGTTCCATAACACCGTAATTATTATGATAAACTGGTATAAATTGCATAACTTACTGAATCACGAATAATGGAAAGTACATTTCTCACGAATAGAACCCGAAATTGGGTTAACTGATTTGCAGCAAATTCTCGACTAGGATCATCGTACTAAAAATGGAAGTAGAAATGGATTTTTCACATATACTTATTATGTGTGGTATACTTTAATATTGATCTTGCGGTCATAACGAAGATTTGAATAACTTTAAAATTCGATGAATCTGAATGAATGGGCCAAATATTTTTTAAACAAGATAATTTAGATATTAAAGAGGAAGAATGAATTTGTAAAATCTCAACGAATGAATATGAAGTAAATTCAAAGTTTCACCTAGCAATTTGATCTAAGCTTTTTCAAGAAATTATAATCAAACATCAAAATTATTGAGTATAAATAGATACATGGTTCTCTAGTTCACTATATACTAAATAGGCAATCCAATCAACGTTAACAGTGTTTGAAGTACATATTTGCTTTAGTGTGTAAGTGACTTGTGGTGTGAAACGAGAAGTGTTAAGACAATATATTGTATGTATACATAAGTGGTGTTATCTTAATTTTGATTCACACCACAAGTCTCGTACACATTAAAGCAAATATCTACTTCAAACATCGTTAACTTTGATTGGATGACTAGAGAAAACATGTACCTATTTATATTCGATAATTTTGATGTTTGATTATAATTTCTTGAAAAAGCTTGAATCAGATTGCTAGGTGAAACGTGGATTTACTTCAGATTCATTCACTGAGATTTCACAAATACATTCTTCCTCTCACATCAACTAGGCGCTCAAACACTGTGAAACTGTTCGATCAAATGTGGACGAAAGTTCTTATATGAGATAATTTAGGTTAGCCAATGAGCTCAAAAAATCTGGTAATCATTGTATATATATAGCATATATATAGGGGTATATATATATATATATATAGGGGTAAGATTCATTGAAAATTGATATTCTTTGTTTGTTTATGATTTATCCATTTTGTTGATGAGCTTTAGGTATTATTACAAATCTCTAACTTGGTTATTTTAAACAAATTTGGCATTGAGTAGATTTTTAATAATAAGGTTGATGATATATATGTAATGTCCTAATAGGTGGAAATTTAAATTTCTGGCGTTTCGCTACTTAGCATAGGCTGCTTCTTCAGAAATCTGATTTTTTACTAATCGAAATCTTACAAATATACCATTATTCTTATTATGCCAATTTTATGTTAATATGTACCTTATAGGCTTGTTATTTTGCGATTAAAAGAAGTCTTATTTCAGTGACTGGTGTTTTTGTATCTAATACAGATTCATCCAAAGATTTGAATCCATAATGGTGTCTCATTAGAAACCTGAACTCGGAAAACATAGATCTACCGATCGGTATTCATTTTATTTACTTAGACAATTCAAAACCCATTAAGTCATTGAATTTTCCTGGATAGCACTATCAATAACTGATTTAAGGTTATTAGGATAGCACTAAGCTAACAGAAGGAAATATCACTTTGCTTAACCAATTAAAATCAACCTAATCTTCATTACATCACGTAGAGTACAAATGGGTGTTACCGTATCAATGTAACTGGAAGCTTTGTTTAAACAACATAGTGTCATCGAAGATATTCTCAGCTAGAGAACAAGTGATAAAACTTTTGCCATAATCCTTAACAGAGTCAATTAAGGGTCAAAGAAAAGTTTACGATAAAAAAAAGATTGTTTGATAACGGGTAAAGACGGATAACCCTCTGTTTATATATGATTACAATTTTGATGTACATCTTTAATCAGAGAACTGAATAAAGTATATAATAGTAAGTTGACAGTAAAAGCGTATATATATATATATATATATATATAATATATATGCCTGCTGATGTAAACAAAAGTCAGTTTCTGTCCTGTTATTATTTTCCGTAAAATATTCGTCTACGGGGTGGATAGTTAATAATATACCAATTAGTTGTTTTTGATAAGTAACAATAGAAAGACAAACTACATTGTAGGAGAAAAACGCTCCAGACAATAAACCATTTAACATATTGTCTTTTTTAATGAACAAACGGTTAACAACACTTTGGGTGTATCAACTAATATCTAGATAATATATAATTGACTATATTTATATTAAATAGAACAATTAATTGAATATTCCATTCATACTGTAATAAAACAATCATAGAATATAATCGTTATCTAAATAGCTATTAAGATTAATTTTTATTTCTACGTATCTGTTTATGAACAGCGGGCCGTTTTAAGCTGTAATCTATTGATCATGATAACTACATAAAGGAAAATTCCACAGAGATCAGAAAGATGTTCAGCAGTTTCATTCTCCCGATGATTGGCCTATTTTATAGATGTTTGCGTATTTAGAGTATTCATACATTCAACTAAATTAATAAAAGTCAAAGCCCTAACCCTAAGTAAACTCCATAGATTGGTCATTGTGAATCACTACAATACACCTAATATTTGCTTTACTTTATTCTAAAGTTGCATATAAATAAAGCATTGTAAATAGGCAACATTTTTTGACTTGATCACTGTCAGACATTTTGATCACACACAGTTAATAAGTGGTTGTATATAACTTGATTATCCCATTAATAAAGAATAAAAAAATCTACTATTAGAATGCTGGAGTAATGTTTAAAATATCTCTATAGGGAAACATATGCAGGTGGAGCTAAACATATGCATTTGTAAGATGTTATTAACCAACCAAAGCTATTTATTACGGTCGTATAATTAAGAAAGTTACTATACAGGTATTCAGTATCAAACTAAGCTAAAATGATAATGCATTTGATTTTCATTAATATGCACAGTCATTATTTCATTTATTTGATACATAATCGAAAATCTTATATAAATGTCGTATTTTATTCTTCTATTCAAGCATATTTCATATCAATTAAGTAAAATACTGTGATAATCTCTTACAATTATATTTTCCTTTCGACTATCTGTAAGATACTTTAAAATTTACATTAATTATAATAAATAGGTATAGATAAAGAAATGCAGTAGATGATGACAAAAATGGCTAGTAAATAGTTGTATTCTATTCTCTTATTGCATGTTAAAATAATAATGTTTGCTAAATTTTGCTTTGAAAAACCACATTCATTTTTCAATTTAATGTCTTTTTAAGTTCAAATTTACATTTATTCATGAGTAATGAAATTTTCATCTGTACTGTCTGTCAAATAACAACCAATGGACTAATTAAACAATTATATAGTTACTTGACAACTTTTGATACACAGGTTAGTGACTTTTACATTAGTATAAAAATCTTATAACTAAATAGTACAAATTATATATAATTACATTTAAATATTTTACACTTTGTTTTACATAAAACGCATTTAGAAAAAGAACAAAATTAATAGTTTACTTTTGGCTTTTGAAAACCATCTTAACAAAACTAAGTTTTATTTGTATCTTAGATAAAATAATTTTGTGTAAATTTGAATTCATTCGTACGTTTTAAGCATGCGAATGATGCTTGACTGATTTATTTCAGTGTAATATGCTGTAGTTAAATGTAAACATTAAGTGTTCTGTTTCACAGAAGGTAAATAGAATGTTTATAAGCAAAGATGGATAGTGGCTAGCAGTGGAATCCAGGACGCGCGTTTCGTCCTGTTTGGGACTCGTCAGCTGGATGTACCTGCATCTCAGAGTTGATGTTCACTCTGGGACTCGAACTCAGTACCGTTCGCTTCAAACGCCATCGCGTTATCCACTTAGCTACTGAGTCCTGATAGCCACTTGCTTGTGCAGTGGGTTGAAGTTTAATTCACTGGATATTGTTTTTTATTTGAATCTTCCCACTGATGTTTTAGGTCTGAGTTCGAGTCCAGAGTGAACATCAACTCTGAGATGCAGGTACATCCAGCTGACGAGTCCCAAACAGGACGAAACGCGCGTCCTGGATTTCACTGCTAACCACTATCCATCTTTGCTTATAATGCTTGCAAATTAAGGCAATATCGAGGCATACGCACAGTATGCACATATGCCAATAAGAGACTGATCAATTTCAGTCCTAAAACATCAATGGGAAGATTCAAATAAAAAACAATATCAAGTGAATTAAATAGAATGTTTGTTAAAAAAATATAAATTTCACACTGACATGTAATTTTACTAGTTTGAGAAAGAATATTTTTAAAATTAAAATCTTTATGTTTGAGGTCGACGGAAACTCTACTGCTTTTTCCGAAGTCGCCCTTTATCTTTTAAAAACATATTTATATAATATCACTTGCAATGTGGTGATTTTATTTCAAATGACGTGTTTAAATTGCATTTCAATGTGAACTGGTATATTATTGTTGCAAATGATCTTAGGCAATGAAAGTGTACCTTATTAGAAAAAGGATATGGTAATCCATTTGTGTATCAATAATTATGGCTACTGATTCTATTTAAATCGCTGAAATTATTAGGCTTATCATAACAGATGGAATCTTATAAAAAACAATCTAGACATCTACGTTTTTCTGAAGTAAATATCTACCAACCGATTGATTTTCGTGTTTTTGTCAAGGATTATTCTTGAATTGATTTGCTCAACATAAAAAAAGGCGGTTAGATTCCAAACCTCGAACATTACCACAGACTAGTAAACTTTTTGATGTTTGTAAGACATGTTAATGAGATGGATTGTTAAATGTAACTTAGAGATCTAATTATAGTTCATTTTGATTGCTTAAATTACAAATAAGCTATTCGTTCTTGATATACTGAAATCCATAGTTGTGGAATTACATAGTCAAACAATAAACGTTGTTCAGAAATATAAACACAATAATATAACTCACTTTTATACAATCTGAACTGACTAAACCTTGATCTATGGTACGTATAGGGCCATTAGGTTGAGGTAGAAGTACAGACATTTCAATATGTGATGGTGATTCTTGCTTTGAAGTTAAAAGTAATTAAATAAGTATGCAAAGCAAATAACAAAAACATGCAATTTACTTTGTTTCCAATACGTCTTATTGATCATAAGGGAATGTTGGATTCATGTCTGATTCATTACAATAATGCATACAAAAAAGCACATCACTATTTTTAAAAAGAGTTAAGATCATCCTGTTGTTGATAAATTAGACTGAATTTTCATCAGTCTTCATTAAAATATGTACATTCTGTACAGATTGCCTCGATGTACCCGTTTTTTTACAAGTTTTTTTTATCGAATAGACGGATTGTGTCTAGTAGTGCAATTCAGAATTCACATCTCATTCTATTCGGTATAATCAGGCGGATGTTATTAGATGTCAGTATTGATGTTTATCCCGGAATAACTTAAACCGTTTTTGCTAGTGATACAAATGTCATACTCGTTTCACAAGGAAGTGGAAATTAGGGTCGAGGTTGTGAACATCAACACCGGAATGAAGATATATCCAACTAACTAGTTTCAAATAGGCCAAGAACACGCGTTCTGGAATTCAATGCCAAACACAAATTTGTTTATTCTGCTAATAGTAATTTATTTTTTCTGCCTAATCTGATTGGACCTCATATTAAGTGTAAATTGCATAAAGTCAATATAAAAGAATATACTATGATAGACATTTTTATGAAAATGAAATACTGTAATTACACATATATTATACAGAATTACTAATCTGAGGTATAACCTTTTATTAAATCATGTTTCAGAACATGCTGTATATTCCACAATGAATGATTGAAAATCTCTGTCATAAATTTGTTAATTTAATATCATTTATCAAAAGATTTATGTCAAATTTATATTTCACAATTATAAAGCAAAATATTATGAGTTAAACAATGTGTTAAAATATGAATTCCTAAATTTCGGTCAAATGCTTATTTCAAAAATGCATCTTTTCACCACGCTCTAACATCTGAAGAACCATTAAAGAATGAACAGAACTGAAAAACGACCTGATTTTTGATTGAGAGTTGCCAGATGTGTTTCCATTCGACGTCGAATGCAACAGAATCTGAAACTATTTAGATTTTCCACTATGTACAATAACATTTAGTTAACGCAACGCAATTACGTGCTTTATGTTTTTCGTTATAGCCAATTTAATTTATTTCAGGACTTCGTACTAATACACATTTAAATAACTTCTAATTATCCATCTATCAAGCTAACCTACTTAACAATAAATCTTGTGAATACAATGATTTTTAGTGAATACTAGAATAACTTAATTACATTCTAAATATACATTTCTTGCAATCATAAAAAGCAATAAAAAGTAAAATAATATTGTGTTTGTAAACCTACACTTTTTACAAGCTGTTTAGTCTTTTTCTTCTTATCATCATGTATAATAATAGGTGAACAAAATGACGGCGATGATGGTGACGATGAACAATGATCACTTGAAGGAATAGTTTCAGAAACTATTTGAATATTATCTATTGGACATTCATTTGTCTGAATAACTGTTGAATTAAGACATACTTTCGTCTTTTCAAATAATCTACAATTTCATCTAATGTTCCGCGACGTGCAGCCATTGCTAATCGCATATAATGATCACCATATTCACCACAAGCCACTTCCATAACTGTTATGTAATGTTAATAAAGAATAGATAATGTGGAATTAATCGTTGTTCATTTGTGATCATATGAACTCAAACAAATAAAGTTTAAGTAACTGTTTATATGATAAGAATGTTTTGATCATCTAAGTGGTTTAGTAAGTTAGAATTCACCATTCAATGAATATACATATTAGTTTACTTATGATAATAGTAATGGCAAATATAAGGGGAGTAAATTGTAATAATTTTGTTATTTCAAGCAATTTAGGTTGAACCTAACTATCAGACAGAACAAGATACCTTGAAGCTGTTAAGTTAAATTTATCAGACGAGTTCGGAACAACATAAAATATGTTATCTGAATTTCGAAACTAAATACCATAAAATCACATTTAATTATAGAAACATTCCATTACTTTTTCCTCCCCAAGATTTTATTTGTCATTATATTCACAAAAAAATGAATCATATTTATTAAAACAGGTTAAATAATGAACGTTTTGAAGTTAAGATTACATTACCAAATAGCATGTAATGAATAACTCAAATTATAAGCTACCTACATTTTTGTCTGAATAGATTTCACTCTTATATTAAATTATAAAAAAATGTTGTAAAACATTTGTATTGGAAAACAATTTGTTTGCGACCATCTCTATACAAACATAATATTCATTTTCACGGATTACGTTCTCATTCACTTAACGTGTATCTAGCAACAAGTGTCATCAATCTGAATGTGATTAACATTCCAAAATCCATTCATATATAAGACAGTTTCACATCAAATATACGTATATAATTATTTTAAAATTAATTCATTGATTTTATTGCATTCGTTATTCTCCCAAACTTCTGTTGTAAATAGTGTTGATACGGTAGAACAATTAGCATAAACTTTCTTAAGCTAATAAACCAAAGAGTTAATTGTAACTAATTGTAATAGGATTTTCTGAAGTTTGTTAGCTTCGAGCGATATCCAGTAGCATTTTTTTACATAATTACTTGACATAGATTGATTCGTCAATCATACAGTTATATTCTGCACACAAAATTGAACAACTGACTAGTTACATTACCTTAAGAGTAATTAACATATGATTGATTTGTTTGTTATTAAATTTTATTGAATGTGCATGCCAAACAGAGAGATTTGAATTTAATTATTGAAAAATAATAACAACTTACAATAATCAGCAGGATTATGATAAGATGGGCAAATTAAATCTTGTGATGCGAGGTAAGGGACTAAACATGAAACAGGTCCTCTATAAATACAATGACCATCAGTTAAGAAGTATAACTGCAAATGAAAAGAATGCAGTAAGTATGAATTAATAAATGAACTAACTGAGAGCATGTAAGTGCTATCTGATGACCTGTTATTATCATCGTTTCCCCTTAGATTTACTTCTCACCTACACGACTAAAAGATGTCATCTAGTCTTTGTTGAAACCTGAAGGTCTTTGGTTCGGTCTTCAGTGGTTTCGTAGATGCTGATGAGTGCTATACTAAGACATAATAGCTATCAAGTGCTTCTTAGTTTTTGGGTAGTGGTCTAGTTAAGATCGATTTGTAATCTAAACTATGAAAATGAATATTCTTATCCATTTTCAAAGTAAGAAACCTTACTACTAAAAATACTTAAGACAGACTTGAAAGTTAGCCAAATACAACAAAATACACGCATTATAATTGAATTTTTTAAATCTAGTGACCCTGTTTTATCTTAATCAGTTCCTTGAACAGTGAAAGTGAATCAATTGGTTAAATGAAACATCAAAATGATCGAAATCGATTAAGTAGGTTAACTTTAAACATAAATACGAAGAACAAGAATGTAAAGCTGTAACGTTAGTTCATGTGTTCCTTTTCCGATGTTTCCTTCACTATTCTTCTGAAGCTTCCTTTGTTTATTCATCGATTAATATTTACCAAAGAATTTGTGATTTTTACTATTGTTTTTCCTGATCAATTAAGAGGGTAATGGAATTTCAAACGTATACATCCATACAGATTCGTTGTTAGCCCAAACAAATCAGTGAATTACATTAACAAAATTAAAATAGAATGTTTTCATGATTGATTAGTTAACAATCAGCCTATTGATTTCTCGTTTGTGTAATAGGATATTTGAGGATAAATCTTTGATTCAGCATTTATGTTTTCTTGTCATTTTTTAAAAGCTGTTCTTATTATTGCTATCGGTCTAATCAATTAATTGGATGTACTAATCATGAGGAAATGACAGATCATTGTTTAATATATATATATATATATACCAGTTAGTTACAAACTGTTACGATAAAAGTAACGTTGCTTTGAAGAAATAAATAGAATATGAAAATGAGTTTTAATGTAAAATACCAACTGACTGTAAATTGAATACGCCAGTAAATAACAAGAAACAGATTGAATTCCGGTGTCGATTTTAGTACTAAAGATGTACAAGTCACTAAGTCAAACGACATAATATGAATTAACTTTGTTCGATAATTCGTATCACTTTCGTCGATGTTAATACTGTATGCTCATGAAGAAATGAAACACAATGAAGTATCGATTGTCAGTTGATCTGAAAACCTTTGACGTGTATTTTTGGTAAAATCGCAAATTTTGTTGGGTCTTAGGAGGCCAGTTTCAAAACAACCAGAGAGTTAATCAGACTTTCCACAGAGATACGATTGAGGAATCTGATGGATGATAAACTGTTAAATGTTACTAGATGCTGGAATACATTAGAAGAGACTACATTAACTCATTACATTCATGACTATCATATTAAGTCTTCTCAACGCGGATGGTTTTATAGCTCATATTCTTTGAATGAAGAAAAATAAGAATGGAGATTAAAGTTAAATAACTGACAGATAACTTCAACTGTAATGTCCTCTCATTTTGGTCATATAGTTAAGCGTCAAAATAGCATAAACCCATATTTGCTTTGTGGTTTAAGTAACTGTAATATTTTCCCGATTGTTTAAGTAGTTACTTTAATTAATGTCAATACAGAAAATTTACCAAGATAGTCAATAAGTGAATAAAATCCATCATTATTCTTGATAAGTTCTGTTTTGATTTCCTAAAATATAATGTACTCTAATGTTAACATGATGTACCTCCTCTGATATAATAAATTAATGGAAACGATTTGCAGAACATCATTCATAACTTAAGATATTATCTTATACATTTTGCAATTATTCTACTATGGCATGATGTATAACCGTTCATGGGTTGTTTCAATAATGGCAAGATCAAGTAAATTCGTAAGTTTCAGATCGAAAAACTTGGAGAACTCATACAACAATACATTTAGCTTGTTAAGTCTGAACAATATTCGTTTTTGGAACATAAGAACATTTGCATTGTGGAAGGAGTTGTAGTACAAGTGGTTCATTTCACTGGTTGCCCTGGTCAAATATTTTTGTGAAACTTTCATTTTTGCACCAACTATTGCTGTCACAGTAAATAGAGTGACTGAACGCTCTGACTACCTGAGCTTCAAGTCGTTTTTACTACAAATAAAATAACTTTTCTTATAAACTGATGAGCCGTTAATAAAAAGAACAGCTAAACCAGGAATGGAACTGCTCGAGAGTTGATCTCTTATCAGGGGATTTTTTTATCCGTTTAAAATATGTAAACGATGTCGAATTATTCGGCAAAGACTGACAAATTTAGAATCTTCTGATCACCATGAACAACAGCCAAAGATTTTGGGATTGAATTCTTCTCCATTTCAATTGAAAATATGGATTTAAGACAGATTTCAGCCAACCTTTAGACTAAAATTACGGAAATAAGTTATTGAGCTCCTCAACCATTTTATCTATTTTACAGATCTGGTCACTCATGTTGGGTTAGTACTTGACGAAATCTTAGCAAGCATTCACAAAGGTTGGTTGGCTCTTGCCGATCGGCGTGGGGAAGATGTTCGTCTACCGACCAAAGAATGAATATATGGCACAGCAGTATTTTTTTGTTTCTGTGAAACATTGTCTTGAGAATTAGAGGACATTCAAAGTTTCCAGTTACTTGACCATAAGTGTCTCCGAACACTCGAACCACTAGGTGAGCATTAGGTAAAAACGAAGATCCGGTCATTAAGGTTTCAAATATCCATCAACTGATCCGGTTGAGACATGTATTAATTTTGTCCAACTATCCCCCACCAATCTTGAGAATGTTGGCCGGATTAAGATTAAGTTAGAAAGAGTCTAATGACAGTCCAACCTGACCCCGTTCATATTAGCAGGTGCAAGTTATCTGATAAGTGCCCTCGCGACTGTCGAGACCAGCAAATTACGTATTTTTTCTTGAATCACATTCTATATATCTAGCGTGACTTCGCTAACACCGATACTGTTGCAGTAAACTAACCTATTGAATAATGCCTTAATTACACAAAAATTTTCGTAAAATATGAAAACCATACATTAAAAAACATTATTTGCAAATATTCCTTCAGTTGTCCCCCACATCATGATTCTTCCAATTCTGTTGTAATTCCAATCGCTCACCGTTTCGCTTCTTATTCACCCCAATTGAATTTTCTGATGGCAGGCATTCCACTTCTGCCTGCTGCTAAGTACTAATTATATCTGTTAGCATAAACAGCATAAACTACACTGATACTACCCTTAGTTCTTTGATATCAACTTGGAAAATTCTATCTTGTTGCATGGATTTGGTGTGGTAAATTGAGCCAGCACACATACTTACAACGTTCTGTGTTACTTTTGACTAAGTTTATGTTTTATTTCATTTAATGACTATTCAATGTTAGTAAATTCTAAACATTTTAGCTTATGCTTCAGGTTAACTGACAAAATAATTTAGTTAACTTTATAGTTATTATCTGATTTATCTTTGTTTGTGTTTACACCTTTCTATTTTTTCAAACTTTATTATCCGGTCAAAAATATTTATCACGTCAATTTCAATAATTTACAGATGAATTAGATGTTGATTGACAAAATAAATTAACATCTGTTCACTATTTAATAAGTATTTTTACTTGATGGTAAGAATGCTTAGATATCTCATCACTGTATATATATATATATATATATATATATATATATAGCTTTGAGTGAATTTTTCTGATTACCAAGCATGTTTTTTTATTGTTTATGCATACAGCGAATTAGTGTGCGTTAGCGTTTATCTGAAATGTGTATTTGAAAATGAAATAAAACCCCACGAATAAAATAAAATCTCTATTAAAGCCATTTAGCACTAAAATAAGGTTTACCAGTTCAACGGGGCTGGGTCACATTAGGCAACTATATCTTCAGATTATTTAAGTGATTTGGGGATTAAATATGAAGTAGCAAAGGACATTTCACAGAGTCCTGTGTTAATCTACTGCGTATACATATCCGTGTAAACATAGGATTATTCGAGGCCAGATATACTCTTCAAGGAAAAACTATACCTATTACGAGAACAATGTTCAATAATCCCAACAAACTACTTAATCAGAACTTATCGTTGCAATCATTAGCCTTCAGTACGTGATCTTCGTATAAGGACTACCTAATAACATCAGTGGCTGATAAAGATGTTAACAAAAACAGTTAATTTTTTTAAACTGACATTTTGTTCGTCATTCAAAATTTTCAGCTCATTTTGATTAAGTCACGTTATTTAACAGAATATCGGTAACATAATTATAAACATCATATAGGATGCAGATTTAGTCTGGCAAAGCTACATGTAGTTACAATCCAGTCCACTACGAGAAAGCGATTATCCACTTTTTTAACGACGAAGTGGTAATTTTAAAGATTATATTCTACTCTATTTCCGGTACAACGATAGTCGACAGACTTTTGATTAACATGATTTTCTTGGTGTTTTTATGAATTCTCTTAAGGGTAACTTCTAGAATTTATATGTGTAAAAGATTATATTAGTAATATACTTTGATGTCTCTAAATCCTGAAAAGAAAACAGATGCAAAGATTTCATTATTTTTAACGATATGAATGCATGTTAGCTTTCATACTCACTTGTAGTCTACATTAATTTCGAATAGTGTTTTGGATGAGTGAATTCAAATGAAAACTTGAGAGTAATCAGAATAATAAGTGGTAGAGGTTAATTATAATCAGACATTAATCAAGCAAAAAATATCAGGAATTATGAATCCATAATGCTTATTGTATGGGAATCAAGTGAACACTTATTGGACATTTTTGAAAATATCGATGAAAATAACCACAACTAAGTTAAATGAGACTACTTAAACAAGGATTGGTTAATACTTCACTAATTAGTCGACTACAGTCTCTAAAAAAGTATCTTCGTGTTGATGAACATTGTATTTTTGTTAAAAGTTTAAATGGTTGAAAGGTTAACCTTTAACACGTTAGCTGACATTGACCAAAAATTACAACAGACTAATGAACACTAAATTTACGACTGTGGTTGAAAACCGGAAAGAGAATAAAAGATTTTAAATACATATTAAACATGCAACATTCTCATTGCTTCTACCACTTATATTTAGTAATGGGAGCAAGAACATTTTAATTTTAAATGAAAAAATTATCTGAACATCCACTTCTAGCTAAATGGTAATTAGATTAATATTGTTCATAACAGTTTGTAAAAAACAAATTTTTGAAACAACATGAAATACTACTATAACAGTGAACAAAGTTCAAAGTACCAGTCGGTAAGAACATCACTGAGTAAATAGTTCAATAGTTTATCAATTCAAACCTTAAGAAGAATATGGGTAAAATGTATATGTGGAATGGAAGCAGTCATCTGCTAAAAAGTTACTAACAACTTAAAACAGCATACAGTATTTATAGTAATAAAGAAATTCTTCGCGGTGATATCATGTTAATAAAAGTTGTCAGATTCAACCACAGGAAATAATCACACATTCAGTAGACAGTTTTGAGATGGAAGACAAAGATTTTCTTGGTATTCGCAATGCCATTTAACGAGTTAGGCTTGGACATAGTTTACAGTTGATCAACTCAGCTAGATTATAAGAATCAGAATCTAACATTTCCATTAAAACTGGACAGATTTTAGCTCATGAGTCATACAAAAACACATTCATTTATATTACCAATATCAAATGTGATCAATCAATTATTTCTGTTCCAACTCACGGCTGATATATTATTATGATCATTATTTTCTGTCTATCTATCTTAAAGTAATTAGTGTTTCCTTTAAGAATTTAAGCTAAACAAGGCAACTTGAAAGTCATAGATCGTTCAAAAGACAGGAGAATTGTAGGTCAGAGAGTGGATTTCTGAAATTATTCACCAACATTTTGGGTCTCAAACATTTCCACAACACTGAGATACATCAGTATATATTTATTTAGATCATGTGATTATAAATTATTTCACAACAATAACAACGGTAAAAGGGTTATTCCAAATCATGGATAATAGAACATTTTATACTAAACTGTTTTAATCGCACGTGTCAAAGTTCGAAATTCACACCTCTATGGCTTTAGGATTTCCATAGGACTGTGTTAACATGGGACATATTTTTAAAGTTATTGTTAATAAATTTTGAATTTCATTATAACCAAATGGAAATCCTAAGACATGATAGGAAACGCCTCACTAAATATTACTACAGAATCACTGGACGGCCGTCGTATACAGGACTCCTAAGCAGTGCGCATCCACGATTTCGCACGCAATACTTGAACACAGGACCTTTGGTCTCGCGTGAGAATGCTCAACCTTTAGACTACTGAGCCGGCATCCAGTAGTGTTAATATCTAACCCATGATTGATTCATGAATTCAACCGTCAAAATACTACAATCTCCACAAATCCACATACTGATATTAGTACAGAATTTTGATTTGAACACTTCTAACAAATTAAACATTGAGTCATTTATTTATATTAGAAATGATAAATTTATACGGCTCAATAAATAGGAAAGGTCCTTTCTGAGTAGTTTAACTCATGGAATTAATCTTTGAAAGAACAAACAAACTCCAAAAATTAATATACTTCTAAGTAGCAAAAAGTGAATATGATCATATTACCAGTGAATATCAACAACTAGAAGGGTGCTTCTGCCATACGCTGAGTATGAATGAATGCGAGATTTAAATTATGATTGATGGATTCAGTTTTTATTGTATTAGTTACGAGTTAATTATCCCGTTGCTTAATATATTCCCCTTTTATAAAATGAGCAATGTTTATTAAATAGTTTTTATTTTGGGAGTAAATTTACTTCACGACAATGGTTGTCCCTATTATGTAATGCACTATTGAAAGATCAATATTATGAAATGAAGTAAAACGAACCCCAGAATATAATTCCAAATTTCTAACATTTTTTCAAAATATGCAAATTTGTGGTTAATCACAGACTTTAAACTCACATGGTCAAATAGTTCGAATATTTTTGCACTCGGTTGGTGTATTGTACAAATTATTGTTCGACCACCACGTGCCAAGCGACGTAACAATGAGATGCAATGAAAACATGAAGCACTATCCAAACCACTGAAAGAGAGAGCGTTTGAATAGATGAAATTTCTGTTTTACAACAGTAATGATTTATCTGATTATTCACTGACCAATAATGGAGTAATGGAGTAATCAGTGATAAAGTCAGTGAATTCGGAAAGATTTAAATTACTTAATAAATAAACCTGTTCTCATTCACACAGTCGCACTGACGTAAGCCTATGAAAGTTCACCATTATTTAATGCGATATCCGGTATCCATATGTATCTATCTATCCTGTAAACAAAATGGAGTTACTATGATTTATGAAAGGACGTTGATGTCAACCGTTAAGCGATAAATTAATAAAAATGTTTAACACTGGCTTCTTACTTGCTCAACGTGCTATTATTACCCATCTGCTAAGATTATTTATCTATTTTGTTAGGATTTTTTAACATTGTCCCTCAGTATATTCATAAATGAGATCAGTGAACTGTTCAGAATATCTTGGGTTGGATAGTCATGTAATAAACTAAGAGCCTCTAGATAAAAATAATAATTTCAAGTTTTCCATGTTGCTCCTTTGTAATGTGATTTGTTTCCAACAAATAGCTGTGAAAACTCAACAAAACCTCGGAGAGATCATCTAAAGAATAAATTTTCTAGCAGCGACCTCCTTTAAATATAGTTAGACGATAAATGTAGATTGCTTAGAAAACATAATAGATTTTAACAAAAAGTTCTAGATCTGTAGGAAGCGTTTACTAAAATTTACTAATTCAGTGTAGGACGGGGTGAACAAAGTCGATCCGAAAATATAAGAACTAGGTAGGGTCATATAAAATAGTTTTTGAGTTCCACTCAATGTTGGTGCAAACTCCTATAACAGGCTGATTGAGTAAAGCGACGATTTGCCGAAGGAAACAATATTTCAAACTTGCTAAACTCGGTCTGAACAAGTGAGGAAATTCCCACTTTTGATTAAACTAAGAAAGAAGGATAGAACAAATTTATTACAGAATCGGCCAGATAAAGTCATGATGAGTAACTGATAATCTAACAGTAGTGCGATATTTTGGAAATCAAATGCTCTGAAATAGCATAATTAAGTGATTAATTATGAAAAACTCTTGAGAACTTCAATCATCAACTTCATGACATCTCTGAACATCGTCAAAAGAGTACTTACTTGGAAGAAATTAAGATAAGTAGAAATTTTCTTAAAAAACAGAAAAGTCATCATAATTCAAAATATGCTCAAAAAATCAACCATTTCTTTATATTGTGTGAACTCTGTTAACAGCTTTAATTTTGACAATGGTAGAGGTCTTCTAAAATGTCGTACTAATAAGCTATTTCCAATAAAATCCAACAAAGATGCATTGAATGCTAGCTCTGTTCCATGTCTCCCATAAATTTCAACTTACCTATTGTGACAAACAAACTCATATTGGAAAAGAAGGAACATTATTTCTACTCTTAACAAAGCATTAACTAATTTTCAACTGCTTAAAACTGAATTGCTAACCAGTGAAACACTGGATACGCTATTCAGATAAAATAATGAAAGTCAATAAGGCAATTTTATTTCATTTTTATCTGTTGAAAAGACAAATCAAAAGCATGGTAATACGTTATCTTGAAGGCAGTTAAAAGTAGGTTACTAAGATCTAAATAATGTGTGACTTATTGTTTAAAATCTAGTTTTCAGTGAACTTATGACTATTTTATACATTTCATTACTGTAAATTTTTGAGTGATATATTTATTTATTTCCTCGAAAATCGTAACCTAGTGAGCGGGACTATTCTATTATTTAACAATATGAATCTATGTAAAGCTGATACAACGATGCCTGTTAATAATTCGAAAGGACTTTATTCAACTGGTTAAACCATGAAGTCAGTAATAGCTATCACCTACCATTTAAATTACTGAAGACACATTATTACCCATGTATATTTCAACCTAGACTTTGCCTAACATAATTTTAAACTCATCAGTATATTCTATTGTAGTTAAAGTAATTGAACTAGTTACATTTTGAGTAAAGACAATGATGAACTTATGTGAAAATATCTAATGGTATTGTAAGTTTCAGAAATCTAAGATATAACATAGTTTTAAATACCCAACTCTTGACATAAAATTATCTCAAGTATCTGTTTTACTGAAGTAGAAAATTTCCTCATAGTACTTATAACACATTCTTGGCTGAACTATCACGCTAAAACTAGAACGATAGAGTTACGGCGAGAAATAACTCCACTTTAAAATGTGGACTGAAAACTATTGCATTCACAATATTTTAATTAGTCATTATTTTAAAGTAACACTGTTTTGATAATAAGCCTACATGTACAAAATACTTTTTTACTTCATTTATTCAAACATGACATTCTATCTAACCAACATTTCTTGTGGTAGATATATTTTATACACATTCGAATATTTAACACAACTGTTAAGTAATTTACGTTTTAGGTAGCTTGCATGAATTACAATTGCTTGGGCATTTGCTAGTTCTCCGCTTTATAAGTTGCTTGCATAGTCAAATACAATTTTCTATCCTTTGACTGTCTCTTTATTAAGCGCTATCTAACAAATGTAGTGATAATAGTGTGAGGGGGTATAAGTACTGCAAAGATATTTTAGGTCAAAAGTCATAAGAGTTGGATCAAGTTAACAGATTCCCCAAACTCCAATAATGTTTGCATGACAAAATATTCTTTCCTTAAATATCTACATATGCCACTTGTAGACTCTGGTAACTCATCGTACTTAGTTCGTTGATAATTTATTTGAATAATGTAAATTTTGTTGTCACCATTATTCTAAAAACTACCGGAAATTATATGACAGTTTTCTCTTGATATGGGACCTCTAAACCGTCGTATGATCAGAACTATTCTTGAACTATAGAACTAAAAGGTTAAGACTGTGTCATAACAAAATGCTACTGGAAATGTTTATTAAAAGACTATATTTAATCTTCATGGTTATTTAAATAGAAACGTAAACAAATTATATTAAACAATAAACAAAATGGTTTTATTTTCTTAAGTCATGTATATTCTACTGCCCCTTGGGCAACTGTTATTTATTCATTTTCAACATCGTTTTTGTTGACATTTATTTTCACTTTATTTACATAACAGTAGAAGGTATGGGAGCATAGATCGATGCAAATTATTAGTGTTGAAATTCCTATTTTTCACCATACCTGTTTGGGTGTCAATATTTTGGACATTTTTATATTTCCGTATTGCACGGACTAACATTTATACGTTATGAACTAACCCAAAACTGCTGAGAAAGAGCAAAACATCAATTCTGGAATATATTTATGTAAATAAATCATTGAAATTAAGTGCATTTACTAAAATTAACAATCTCGCCATCTAGCCTTTATCTAATCATAAGTAAAATGAAATAACGAATATATAAGTTTTATTAGATAACCTACGAATATTGATTAAAGGCAAAACTCATGGGAACTTAATAGATTATTCTTTTAAATGTTAGAGACGATTTATTAAGGACTGAATCGCCGTTAAACCTGCTGTAGAATACTTAAGTAGGTAACGTGGAAATACTCATATTTCAAAGTTCGGTCTTTGAGAATATGAAAGAGTTTTCTGAAAATCTTTTATTTATAGCTTTTTATATAGATACAAAAGCACTAGTACATAAAATTTATACATATGTACGCTGTTCACTGATTTTATTTTTTAGACCATACTGTAGACTCGTAAGTAAGCTAATTTTCAGAAGTTTTTTGTCATCGTGCAATTCCATAACCGTAATCACTTCATCGTGAAAAGATTTTTACATCACTGGGGTTTTTAATAAATAAATTTAAATGCTACTTAAGATTCTCCAATGATACAAGTTAAACGAGCATTTTTTGCAAAATAAAATTACCAAGACAGGTCTTAGAGTTGTGTAGGTAGCGAACAAGGTCAGACATAAAAAACCCAGGTTCTATGAGAAGACAAACAGTAAATATACCTGCTCCATTGTGCACAATCTTGAGCCATACCAGCCAGTCGTGATCTATCGGTTATTACGACTGTGCAAACCCTAGGTAGGTAAGTTGCACCTACAACATAATTCAGTTCAACAGTTAGTGACTTAATCGACTGATGTCACGTTTTGGACTAGTCATCAGTAATTATCTTCCAATCTACCTCTACAACTGTAAATATTGCTCATCTTTGTGGGAAATGGTTAGGGATACGTAACACATATCTAAAACACCTCAATTAATAGAGATTCTCCGCCTTACCAACTTATTTATCATCTTTAGCTAGTACCCTAAGCATAATGTAGCAGTTTTGACTCATCTACAGTACAAATCATTTCAACGTTTTACAGCTAAAAATGAAGCCTTAAAAAATAAATAAAGCTAGCCAACCAGGCATGAACTTACCTTGTGGGCTCATCAAAAAACATTATTGGAGGGTTGTTAACTAATTCCTGAGCAATAGCTAGTCGTTTCTTTTGACCACCAGACAGTTGTGAAGTTCGAGTATGTACGGCTTCTCTTAGACCAAGAAGGCTTATAATATTATCAACCTAATAAAAATCAATCGAAAATGTCAGACATCAAAAAGAAATTTATTCGGTAAACTAAGTCGATTGTATGATCAATGCAATAGTGATATAAGAACTATTTGATATCGCTGTAAATACTGTAACTTATTTCCATCATTTATTTGTTAATTTTTCCATGGTTATAAAACTTGGCATCCAGTAAAAATAGTCAATTGTTTCACACTATCTCCATGTAAAAATTCTATCACAATTTCGGTTTGTAAGCAGCTGACGAGAAACCTCGAAGTAATATGAATTCATACTATTCTGCATCAATGTTTGTTCTTGCTCTATTTAAATTCATAAAGGTAACCAATTGCACAAAAAATAGTAATGTTGATTTTGCATTTACTCCCAACAAAATTTGTTCATTGTTTTCAAGTCAAGTAAACTTAGCTCTGAAAACGCAGAAAGTTGCAGTATAGTAACCAGTTTATAACCTAATTAACTACTTAAACTAATGTTAATAGACTCCCTCTCACAAAGCACCTGTTATAGCAGAATAATTTTTATGTCGACTATGTAGAAGGTGCACAAGCAGGCTGACATAAGGTGCCAGCATTTATCACCCATAAACCACTTTACTTTTTTGTCAAGTAGCACAAATGAGCGAATAAACAACATTAAAAGTCGAATAAATGTAAATCATTGTAAAAAATGCAGTCTGTTGGTCACTCGATTGCTTTTGAGGTATAAAACATAACAACTTGACTATATTCTTGCCCAAAGGTCGCTTAAGGTTTTCTTCAAGTTACAGAATTTTGACGTCATTTTTGACGACAACAACGAACGTCAAACATTTAATTAGACTAAGGTCAATTTGAGCCACATTACAAACTTCGTTAGTAGCTGTATACAGATTACATTTAAGGTGAACATTTATACTAGAAAGATTTATTAGTTTAAATGGAAGGGCTGCTCCAATTTAGACCACAATTTATATCACAAACGGATACTACACCACCTTGTTAATAAGACTGAATGTAAAAAATATTTTATATATTGCTGAAATAACTTAGTTCAAGCAACGAGTTAGGAAGTTTTTAATGTTATTATTCCATAGAAGCTAGGTTTTGTAATATTTTGCTATCCAAACGCTAGGTAATCTGGCGGCTTTTTAAATACTTAGGTAAAAAGGCGCTAAACTTTAACACATAAAAAGGGAGCTGCACTAAACTATCGAAAACTCATAACAAATTTTATCTTATCAAAGTACCAGTACATACACTAACCGCAAAATTTTAGAGAAGATCGGCGTATAAACAATTTAACAAAGTTTGTATTTTAGCATGGTCTTCTAATATCAAACAACATTTGATATAAATAAAAATTTATGGTCAGTAATAAAAATCTAAAAGGGTTACCGTGTTATTGATGATAAAGACTCAACATCGAATTGATCACCAATAAACGATATTAGATGTCTTGATACAAATAACGCAATTTACATGAATGCAAACCTCAACTGAGAGTGCTGATAGACAGTCAATAGGGTAGTTTTTCGTCCCACAATATTGCGTTTCAGTTGGATAGTCTAATTTCCTCCACCAACACTGTGCCAGAGCTCTCTTTTTAAAGATGGTTTTCAACAGACAAAAGTGTAGTGAGACCATGGGTTGTTCTTACTTAAGTAACTGATATATCCTATACCTCCAAATGTACACTAAATTCTAAACAAATAACTACTGCAATAAATTGGAAACATGTGATGACTAGTAGTAAAGAAAGAACAGATTTTCATGACAAGGTCGGTTGTGAGATTATGCGACTAGCTATTACACAATCACACATGTGTCTTCTTTATACCCAAACTTATATTATGGTTTTTTATGCTGTATGAGAAATACTATTACTACACTATTACCAAGACTTTTACAACTGTCAATTTATCATATGTCTAAACTATTCTACTCCGAGAGACCCACTTAGTGATCTCACGAACAACTGATATCAAAATAAAGTAATCAAAACCAAACTCTAAAATGTAGAGCAAAACCTACGGCTGCGACTAATAAAATGCAGTGGTTATGGATGATAATGACAAATGCAGGCATTTTTAATGATTATCTTGTAACACACAAATAATACCAAGTAATTCTGATCAAAAATAGAAGACCATATTATGATATTCACAAAAGTAAGAGGTCATCAGATACACGTCTTATACAGAGAGCCCACTCATGGATATACTCTGAAAATATCCTTTATCATTCCCCAAGGTGAAAGATTTGTATGTGGTACACTTTTACTGACATAAGTCTTAGTTTTGCTAAAATCTGTTCATCTCCGTGCTTAATAATTTGACCAAATTAACAATAAAGCACTGAGTAAGAGCAATAAAACTTACTATTTTTCTTTTGGATGCATAGTTAGTCTTTTCACTTAATTTCAGGTTGGCACTACACATCATTGCCTCATCAACAGACAGATGAGGTAGTAACAAATCATCTTGCATTATGTAACACGACATTTTCCTGAATTGCTGCAGGTTTCTTAGTGAAGAGCCAATGATAACATCACCAATAACATTTTGCGTGCAGTATCCCGCTAGAATGTTCATGAGAGAACTCTTTCCAGCTCCACTAGGTCCCATAATTGCGCTCAGTTCCCCAGATTTAAACTCTCCAGATATTCCTTTGAGAATGAATTTTTTTCCGGCTTTACAACAGGTCAGTTGAGAATAATGAAACAATTACCTCTTCCTTGAATAACAAAATACTTCAAATCTTCAAATTTCAAATTTTTTATTTCGTTCGATTCCATGTTTACTATAGGTTGAAATCCATTATTATCACTCCATGTAGCTGTCTTTTCATTCCCATTACAGACAAATGGTTGCATGTTCAGCTACATTTATGATTTTGGTTGATATCTCTGTTTTGGTAAACCAATGTCATTTTTGTACGAAAGATGCTTGTAACTTCAATATTGGTAGCTTTTTAACAGAGAGCTTAAGTTCAGTGAACTGAAAGATTCAAACAAAATATGAAGTATCGTTTGAAAGTAAATGTTACTAACCGAAGAGATTTCACATCAAATTGTTTTAAACATCGGAATATAATTTTGTGGTGAATGTATTTTGTTAAAACTACAAATTATTAGTAATTATCGGGAAAATTATTATCACCTGACAGTTGTATGATACTGCATGTTATCTAAGACGTTATTCCTGTTACAGTTGCTATGGTTGTTTCAGTTTTTGTCCTATGATGAGTTTTTGTGTCGATGGAAATCACTGGGTGTTAATCAATTTCATGTGAGTTCAATCAATTGTGATTACATCTCAGTCCTCCAGGAGGTCGGTCGTGGCCCGGATAGCTCAGTGATAACGTTTCCGACGGTGAAGCTGAGTGACACGGGATCGAATCCATCAGGGAGCACCAGTTCCCTCAAGATTACAGGTACACCTTGCTGACGAGTGCCAAGGAGCACGAAACCGGGTCCAGGGTTTCCTGTTGACTGCCTCCAACCACCATCTAAATCTCAATACATAGTGCCCGCAGTGTCGAGTCACCTAGACTGGTGGCCACATTGCAACATGATCGATAGCATTCGATCTGCACTAATAAGGACTAGACAAGCATGGCATTGATCACCACCCAGTGATCAATCAATTGTGATTAAAAGCCATATACTAAGCGATTTTGATGCGCCGCATATCAGCTGAGTAAACTTAGAAGTAGGGCCATCGAAAACTTCATTTGATTGCAAAGTCTTAGTAACCTTTATTCCAAAACATTAGAAATCCCTCCAGATCCGACATACGAAGCTCCTCTTCTCTTTTGAATTTACTCTTCTTACACGGTGATGACGTCGGTCAAATGACCTTTCTCCCACCACTAGGGAGAAGCGGTCATGTAGTCATATAATTTAAATTCATGGCTGACGTTGCCTGTCAAACAGCTGCGCCGGCCCGTCCTAATATATGGAAGGCAGATATGAAGGCAGTCAACCTAATTAAAGAAGGGAGTGAATCTGAAATGATAGAGAAAGATCAGGAAAAAGCAGAGGCTATGGCTGACTATGTTTGGGCAGTTTTCACCCAGGAACTTCGTCTAGACAAAGAATCAGACCAAAATAAAGGGTCAACAAACCACCTGCTCATCGTGGACTTCGATCAAGGCGATGTCATTAAGGCTCTTAGCACCTTAAACATGGAAAAGTCAACAGGACCAGATGAACTACACCCCAAAATCTTGAGATATTTCGCACAATATATCGCAGCCCAACTGATTGTGATATTCAATATGTCACTTGACCAAGATGTGTTACCTATGGACTGACAGGAGGCGATCATCACGCCCATACATAAAACAGGACCAAGACAAGTTCCATCGAACTACAGACCTGTAAGCCTCACCAGTGTTGTAGTTAAAATATTGGAAAGAATAGTCAAACGGACTGCAATGGCATTTATGGAAACCAATAACTTGCTAAACATAGAACAACATGGTTTGAGAAAGGGTCTATCTTGTACAACGAACCTCCTTATAGCAAGGGAATCTTGGATAAAGGCGCTAGACAACGGAAACTCAGTGGATATTGTTTACATAGACTTCAGTAATGCTTTTGACAAGGTGTCAACTAATAGACTGCCATTGAAGTTAAAAAATTTGATGCTACCGGACGTCTTTTAAGGTGGCTTACGAATTTCCTAATAGGTCATAGACAGAAAGTAAGAATAAATTCCAAGTGCTCCATCTGGAGACCAGTACTTAGTGGAGTACCTCAAGATTCCGTCCTAGGTCCTTTACTATTTATACTCTATGTAAATGATCTCCCATGTATAGTACCATCTCCAACGTTATTGCACGCTCACGATGTAAAAATCTGGCAAGTAATAACCGGAGACGATGATGTATGCGCACTTTAGGCAGACTTAAATAATATGATTAACTGGTCTAAAGAGTGTCTGATGCCTATCAACGCAGCAAAGTGTATCTACATGCACTTTGGGGATACAAAGGTTAATAGGTACAGCATAGAGGACGTGCCTGTACCCGTAGTCTGGTCTCATAAGGGTATTAAGGTAACCGTGAGTCATGACGTTAAGACGACAGCCCATTGCCGGGAGGTTGCAGCTAAGGGGTTTAGAACCCTCTGGGTACTATGTTAGAAACTACCACGTTCACTACAACATACACAACCTTGATGATAACTTAGCTTGAGAACTGCGTTCATGCTGCAAACCCCTGTTTAAAAGGTGACTCGGATATCCTGGAGAAAGTACAGAGGGCAGCTACACGTGCGATTCCAAAACTCCGTGGTTTACCATACAAAAAGCCTCCTGAAAATCTAGACTTTTTTACTCTGTTCTATCGCAGACAAAGGGGAGATCTGATTTGATGTATAGAATACTAAGAAATGATTTTGGACCTAATATATCCTCTTTTTCTTCCCACTCGATTGAGATATCTCAGGGGAAATAGTGGGCGAGTAGAAAGGCCACACCTAGTCATTAATACTTGGAACCTGTTACCCGAGAGAGCGGTGTCCGTCCCTTGAAGTGTTTCATTCAAGAGAAGACTGGATATTCATAGAAGCATACTGAAAGAGGAATAACATACATCATAGGCCTTCTGTCCTCACTACACAAATCTGAATCTGAGTCTACCTTAGAATACTGTTGATTTTCAGTATAGACAATCGAAGCCAACTCGAGCTGAACACTGATTACCCATATATTTGCAGGTCAGGGACTATCCAGGCTAAGAAGTTGTTGTAGTATGAATTTGACGCTAAGGGGTCATATCATTTTCGTCAAACTTCAGCAGAATAATACCCATGATATGGAGTCATCTATTTTTCAATGAATATCAGGTACTTTTATTGAAAACTGCTACTAATTGGGCATCAGCTGCCCAAATGTACAATATTAGTGTGAAGCATCCACATCAGCTGACAATTGGGTACGTCGAGCTACGCATCCCTTACAACTACTGACCAACTCAGATATAACGCTTCTCGATCCATCATCAGACTTCCAAACACACATTCGAACCACTTTACTTCTGACTTCTGATTTAACTGGGCTGATAAACTTCGATTATACCGGTGTTACTATTAAGGGTGTTTTTAAACTCCAAATATCTGTGGTATGCTGTTGGAGCATTATATATTGTTTTCATGTTTTTGGATATATATTCATCACGGAACTGACACTCTAAGTTACTCAAGATGAAAAATCTTTAGCCAAGCACTTTGTTACTCATACCATTCTGGCTATCTAACACAGAAAACTATTTCCGCAACGTAGAACTTGACTTCCACGAACACAGCATGGTAGACCCACATACATGATTCCTCACGGTAGTGGAAGCCCTACCGCGTTATTTCGTCGATCGTATTATCGAGATCACCAGATCCTTCAGCTCGGACATTTATTCTGACAAAGAAAACCCTCAATTGACAAAACACCATGTCGCTGATTTCCATTGTACTCTCACTCGTTATCTTAGTACTCATCAAAATTGTGGAGGCTTTTGAACTCCTCGAGGAAGTTCATCACGAATTCGATTAATCTGTAAATTATTGGGCCAGATAATCGTGACTAGTGTTAGTAACATAGTGAGTATGGTAAATCTTATAGAAATCCACGCAAACCCTACGGTTTCTTAATCTTCAAGCTGTCTGACATGAAAAACCTTTCAGGAAACTTCTACCGGTAATAGGAACTGTGGAAATAGCACTTTATTAGTAGATGCACACTTTTTATCGATGACAACTTTCGAGGTCCCAATCTTTTGCATGAATATGCTTCTAGGGAGCAATTTCCTACAGGTTTAATTCTGAGTTATTCCCTAGACCGTCGAATACAGAGTCTTGGTTTTGCAAAAGTCAGAACAAGCAAGCTGTTTGGCTAGATAAAGTTTATTTAGCCAAATAGCTTGCTTGTTCTGACTTGGCAAAACCAAGACTCTGTATTCGACGGTCTAGGGAATAACTCAGAATTAAACATGTAGGAAATTTCTCTCTACAATCCTAATGACTGCTTGATCTCTGTTCGTGACAAAGAATCTCATCTCCAGCATCTAGACCCTGTTTTCGATACTGTAAGCATTTAGAAATGTCCGGTTGGAAAAAATCCCTGAAATTTACCGGATACATTACTGATGCTCGAGGTATTCGCTTTCTGAAAAGCACGTTAGACGGCCTGGTAAGTTTTCATCGACAGTTCATACAGGACTCTTAACAGATCAACTTCGTGGCAACGTGAAAATCATCAATTCTCGTGAGAATACAATGACACATTCTTCACAAATGATCAAGCCATCGCAATATCAACTGTGCCTGCATACCAGGACATCAAAGTACCCGTCAATATCTCTGTAGATGGATCCGTCTTAGTAACCAGATAGGTTTTTCAACAATGAGTTGACAACACTCAACCACCTCTATCTCTCTTCTCGAAACAGTTGCAAGACAATGAATCAAGGTATAACATTTACGGCAGGGAAACTCTAGCCTTTCACTGAGCCATATGGCACATTAAACAATATGGAAATCACGTTGTCTACGGACCACAAACCTGTGACATTTCCTTTAAGCTCGTGGTTGAATCTATTTCCCCTCGCAACACGACTCTTACCTTAGCTAATCCTATGAGTATTCATGGAACTACCAATTGCGATTTATACTCTAACCTGCTTCACTATGATGACTCTGAGTTTCTTATTCTTTCGTTCAATGCCCGCTCTCTGTCTAATAAAATTATTCATCTTAAAACTCTTTTATTCCTTGTTAATCCAACCATTGTACTTATTACGGAAACGTGGTGTAATTCATCTATATCCGATCATTCCTTGAATGTAGATAACTACGTTTTCTTTAGAACCGATAGA